TGGGGTGCCTGGGGCTGGGTTTGGGGTGCCTGGAGTTGGTTTTGGGGTGCCCTGCAGAGTGGGGCCCTGGGGCTGGGTTTTGGGGAGCCTGGGGCTGGTTTTTGGGGTGCCCTGCATGGGATGGCCCTGGGGCTGGGTTTTGGGGAGCCTGGGGCTGGTTTTTGGGGTGCCCTGCATGGGATGGCCCTGGGGCTGGTTTTGGGGTGCCTGGGGCCGGGTTTTGGGGTGCCTGGGGCTAGTTTTCAGTGCCTGCTCTGCTGAGGGTGGCCCTGGGTTTGGTTTTTGGGGTGCCCTGCAGTCCATGCCCTGCAGAAAGTGGCCCTAGAGCTGTTTTTTGGGATGCCCTGCACGGGATGGCCCTGGGGCTGGGTTTGGGGTGCCTGGGCCTGGTTTTCAGTCCCTGCTCTGCTGAGGGTGGCCCTGGGGTTGGTTTTTGGGGTGCCTAGGGCTGGTTTTTGGGGTGCCCTGCATGGGATGGCCCTGGGGCTGGGTTTGGGGTGCCTGGGGCTGGGTTTGGGGTGCCCTGCATGGGATGGCCCTGGGGCTGGGTTTGGGGTGCCTGGGGCTGGTTTTCAGTGCCTGCTCTGCTGAGGGTGGCCCTGGGGTTGGTTTTTGGGGTGCCCTGCAGTCCATGCCCTGGAGAGACTCAGCCTGGGGTTGGTTTTTGAGATGCCTGGAGCTGGTTTTCAGTCCCTACCCTGCTGAGGGTGGCCCTGGGGCTGGGTTTTGGGGTGCCCTTCAGTCCATGCCCTGCAGAGGGTGGCCCTGGAGCTGTTTTTTGGAGCGCCCTACACGGGATGGCCCTGGGGCTGGGTTTTGGGGTGCCTGGGGCTGGGTTTTGGGGTGCCCTGCATGGGATGGCCCTGGGGCTGGGTTTGGGGTGCCTGGGGCTGGGTTTGGGGTGCCCTGCATGGGATGGCCCTGGGGCTGGGTTTGGAGTGCCTGGGGCTGGGTTTTGGGGTGCCCTGCAGAGTGGGGCCCTGGGGCTGGGTTTGGAGTGCCTGGGGCTGGGTTTGGGGTGCCTGAGGCTGGTTTTTGGGGTGCCTGGGGCTGGTTTTTGGGGTGCCCTGCAGTCCCTGCCCTGCACTGGGGGTTCTGGGGCTCAGCCTGGCTCCTCTGGCACAGGTACAAGGCCATTGTGAAGTACAAGACAGCGTTTTACTCCTTCTACCTGCCCGTGGCTGCAGCCATGTACATGGTGAGTGTGCTGGGGCCTCACCCTGCTGCCAGCAGGACAGGTCCTGGAAGGCTCAATCCCCAGGTCCTGGAAGGCTGTATCCTCTGATGCTGGAGAGTTTGATCCTCAGGTCCTGGAAGGCTTTGCTTTATCCCCAGGTCCTGGAAGGCTTTACTTTATTTCCAGGTACTGGAAGGCTTTATCCCCAGGTCCTGGAAGGCTTTAGCTCCAGGGCCTAGAAGGCTTTATCTTATCCCCAGGTCCTGGAAGGCTCTATCCCCCAGGTCCTGGAAGGCTTTACTTTAATCCAGGTCCTAGAAGGCTTTATGTATTTCCAGGTCCTGGAAGGCTTTATCTTATCCCCAGGTCCTGGAAGGCTTTACTTTATCCCCCAGGTCCTGGAAGGCTTTGCTTTATTCCCAGGTCCTGGAAGGCTTTATCCTCTGATGCTGGAGGGTTTGATCCTCAGGTCCTGGAAGGCTTTGCTTTAGCTCCAGGTCCTGGCAGGCTCTATCCCCGAGGTCCTGGAAGGCTTTACTCAATCCCCAGGTCCTGGAAGGCTTTGCTTTATTCCCAGGTCCTGGAAGACTTTACTTTATGCCTAGGTCCTGGAAGGCTTTAGTTCCAGGTCCTGGAAAGCTTTACTTTATCCCCCAGGTCCTGGAAGGCTTTACTTTATTCCCAGGTCCTGGAAGGCTTTATCCTCTGATGCTGGAGGATTTGATCCTCAGGTCCTGGAAGGCTTTGCTTTAGTCCAGGTCCTGGAAGGCTTTACTCATCCCCAGGTCCTGCAAGGCTTTATCCCAGGTCCTGGAAGGTTTTCTATCCCTGTTATTCCCTCCCCCAGGCGGGCATTGACGGCAAGGAGGAGCACGAGGACGCCAAAGCCATCCTGCTGGAGATGGGCGAGTTCTTCCAGATCCAGGTAGGAGCCGTCCCTGCCCCGCCGGGTCCCTGCCAGCTGCTGCCCGTGGCACTCAGGGCCTGGCACTGCCCCGCAGGACGATTTCCTGGACTGCTACGGGGACCCGGCCCTGACGGGGAAGGTTGGCACCGACATCCAGGACAACAAGTGCAGCTGGCTGGTGGTGCAGTGTCTGCAGAGGGCAACGCCAGAGCAGAGGCAGATCCTGGAGGTAAGGCTGGCAGCACACACCTGGCAGAGGGGGTGCAGTGCCGGGATGGGCACCCGGAGTGCCGGGATGGGCACCTGGAATACCACAATGGGCACCTGGAGTGCCACGATGGGCACCTGCAGTGCCGGGATGGGCACCTGGAATACCACAATGGGCACCTGGAATACCACAATGGGCACCTGGAGTGCCGGGATGGGCACCTGGAATACCACGATGGGCACCTGGAATACCACAATGGGCACCTGGAGTGCCGGGATGGGCACCTGGAATACCACGATGGGCACCTGGAATACCACAATGGGCACCTGGAGTGCCGGGATGGGCACCTGGAATACCACGATGGGCACCTGGAGTGCCGGGATGGGCACCTGGAATACCTCAATGGGCACCTGGAGTGCCAGGATGGGCACCTGGAGTGCCACAATGGGCACCTGGAGTGGCAGGGCCTGTCACCTGGCTGGGAGGAAGAGGGTGAGAAGGAAGAAGAGAGTGTTGGGGTGTTGTTTGTGAGGGTCCTAGGATGAGGGAAAAGGTGAATCCGACTCCATAATTCTTAGAAGGCTGATATATTATATTATATTATATTACATTACATTACATTACATTACATAATATTACATTATATTACATTACATTATATTATATATATTATATATTATATAATATATAATATATTATATATATATTATATATAATATAATATATTATATATATAATATATATAATATACTATATTATATATATTATATATATTATATATTATATTATATGTATAATATAATATATATTATATTATATATAATATATTATATAATATATATATAATATATATTATATATTATTATATTATATTATATTAATGTTAAAAGAAATTATATACTAAAACTATACTAAACAATAAAGGAATACATCAGAAGGCTAAAAAAAGAATAATAAAATTAAAAAACAACAACAACAACAAAACACCAAAAAAACCAAAACAAAAAAAAAAAAAAAGAGGAAAAAAAAACCAAAAAAAACCCCCAAAACTCTGACAGACCAGAGAGTCTGACACAGCCGGGCTGGGATCGGTCATGAATAAAAACAATTCACAATGGAACCAATCAAAAATTCACCAGCCACATCCCAAAGCAGCAAAACACAGGGAGAAGCCATCAGATAATATTGGTATTTTTTTTTTATCCTCCGAACCTTCTCATCTCAGCTTTCTCTTTTTCCCAAGAGAGAGAAAAAAAATCCTATCAAAAAGATATTCCGTAAAATATCACAGTAACAAAGAGAGAAGAGACAACAAAGCCGCTGCCCCATGAGCTGCCATGACCCTGACTCACTCCAGGGGTGTTTTTTAGGAAAATTACGGCTCTAAGGAGCCCCAGAAGGTGGCGAAGGTGAAGGAGCTCTACGATGCCCTGGGCATGCAGGCGGCGTTCCGCGAGTACGAGGAGAGCAGCTACGGGCGGCTGCAGGCGCTGATCGGGAGCCACGCCCGGCGCCTGCCCCGCGAAATCTTCCTGGACCTGGCACAGAAGATTTACAAGCGGCAGAAGTGATGGAGGAGCCTGGCAGGGGGCTGGAGCTGCTCCCTGCCCTGGGAGGGGCCGGGGGTGGGCTGGAGAGGGTGCTCTGATTTATGGGGGTTCAGCCATCTGATTTGTGTCAATAAATATAAATTATTGTAGGCGCGCTGCTTGCTGTTATCTGGGCACGGGGCTGGAGGGAGGGAGGGGGATGCCGGTACCGGGGATGCCCGGAGCGCCGCCCCCGCCGCCGCCGGTGATGGGGCGGGACCGGGCGGCTCCCGGCGGGGCCGCGGCTCCTCCCTCGCTCCCGCAGCCGCAGTCGCCGCCGCAGCGCCGAGGAGGTGAGCGGGGGACGGGGGAAGAAGGGGATGGAGCCGGGCGGGGGCTGCAGGGGGATGGGGAGGGCCGCGCCCAGCAGGGCCGCTCCTGCTGCCCGGCCGCCCGTGCTCGCCCCGGGGCCGGGGGATGGATGCTCGGGGATGGAGGATGCTCGGGGGATGGAGGATGCTCGGGGGATGCCGGGGCTGGAGGATGCTTGGAGCCGGGAGATGCTGGGGCTGGAGGAGATCGGGGTTGGAGGATGTTTGGGGCTGGGGGATGATCAGAGCCGGGGGATGCTGGGGCTGGGGGATGCTCGGACCTGGAGGATGTTTGGGGCTGGGGGATGATCAGAGCCGGGGGATGCTGGGGCTGGAGGAGATCGGGGGTGGGGGATGCTCGAGGGATGCTCGGGGCTGGAGGATGCTCAGCGCTGGAGGATGTTTGGGGCTGGAGGATGTTTAGGGCTGGAGGATGCTTGGAGCCGGGGGATGCTGGGGCTGGACGATGCTTGGGGGTGGGGGATGCTCAGGGCTGGAGGATACTCGGAGCTGGAGGATGTTTAGGGCTGGAGGATGCTCGGAACCGGGGGATGCTCGGAACCGGAGGATGCTCGGGGCCGGAGGATGCTCAGGGCTGGAGGATGCTTGGGGGTGAGGGCTGCTGGGGCTGGAGGATGCTCGGAGCTGGAGGATGCTGGGGCCGGAGGATCCTCAGGGCTGGAGGATGTTCGGAGCTGGGGAATGCTCGGGCCCAGGGGATGTTCGGAGCTGGCAGATGCCCGGATCCGCCCTCCCGCACTCCCTGCTGCCGTTCCCTGCCCGGAGCCCCCAGCAGGTGCCCGGGGCCGGGGCTCCTCCCCGGTAAAGCCGGGCCCGGTGCTGCGGTGCCGGTTCTGCCGCGGTTCCGGCCAAGCCCTGGTCCCTGAGCCCCTCTGGGGCCACCGCCCCCAGGCAGGACAGAGCCCCCCCTGCCCGCCCCGCCTTGACGAGGCTCCAAGGGCGTTTTCTCCTTGAGGCATCCCCGAGATGCTCCCGACCCTCCGGAGGGAATCCAGCCCCGGGGCAGCCCGAGCTGCCTGGGATCGTTCCCAGGCCGTGCTCCAGGGACCAGGGCTGCCTTCAGAGCCCCCAAACCGGGCAGGAAGCTGTGGGGCAGCCCCTCCCTGGGGGCACGTCCCCTTCTCTAAGCCCCAGCCCTTGTGCCAGGCCCTGCTGCAAGGTCACTGCCGCCCCTCTTCCCCCGGCTGTGCCTCTCTCCAGGTTTGTCCTGCCGTGTTTTTCCTTGACCAGGAGCGTGTTTGGTGCTTGCAGGGAGCTGGATGGTGTGAAGAGAGGAGCTGCTGGCCTTTCCTGGGAGCCCTGGGCACTTCCAGCGAGGCAGCACCATGCTGGCCCCAAAGAAAGGCCTCCTGTGCAACCTCAACCACATCCACCTGCAGCACATCTCCCTGGGGCTGCACCTCTCCCGGCACCCCGAGCTCCAGGAGGGCTCCACGGGCCAGGGGGAGCAGACGGGCTGCACGCAGTGCCCGGAGAACCGGGAGCCGGTGGATGCCAATTCCAACAATCCCTCGGTGAAATGTCGCTGCTGCGAGTCCCACGCTCCGGAGCCGGAGACGCTCGGGCTGCAGAACCCTGAGGATTTCCCCTGCCTGCACAGCGGAGACGAGGAGGAGGAGGAGGCGGCTTCCCCTTGTGATCCCCCTTGTGATCTGGCTTCTTCCTCCTCCTCCTCCTCCTCCTCTGTCAGTAGCTGCTCGGATTTCAGCTTGGATGACTCGCCGGTCTCGGTGTACTGCAAGGAGTTCGCCAGAGCAGAGTCCCAGTCCCCTGACAAGCAGCTGAACGTCATTCCCACAGAAAATGCCTGGCATGGAAAGCCTCTGGCTGATGGAGAGCCTCTGGATGATGGAGAGCTTCTGGCTGATGGAGAATCTCTGGCTGGCCAGCACAGGACATGCCATGGGAGAGATGCCAACCACAACTCCCCGGTGCCCCCGAGAGCCACCAAGAGCTCTGTGGCCAGCAAGAGCCCAGACAGCCTCTGCAGCATCAACTCGCTCGATTCTCACTGCGAGGAGCTCTCTCCCAGCACAGCGGCACCGGAGACCACCGGCACCTGCACCGACCTCGACCCCAACTGCAACCCCCTCCCCGAGCCCGATGCGGCGCCCGCAGCCCCGCCGCCCGTGCCGGAACGGAGGGATCCCGGTGTCCCGAGCAGCGCTCCGGAGCCGCGGCCCCGGCCCGGCGGGGTCCCTCCCCCGGTGCCCCCTCGGCCCCGGCGGCGGCTGCAGGTGCTGAACGCGCACAGAGCGGAGCAGCAGCTCGGGCCAGAGCCCAAGGCCAGCCCGGCTGAGCTCTGCAGAGACACGGCCACCAAGACCATCACCTCCTTCCACGAGCTGGCCCAGAGGAGGAAGAGGAACGCGGCTGTGCCCGCGCCCGCCCAGGCCAGGGCTGACCGCAGTGACTGGCTGATCGTGTTCTCGCCGGACACGGAGCTGCCCCCCGGCAGCGAGCTGCTCTCGGGCACGGCGGGCCAGGAGCCGGCCCGGCCCCAGCCCCAGCCGCAGGTGCAGCAGGACGGGCCGGCCCGGCCCCCCGGCCCCAGGCAGAGAGAGGTGACCACGTTCAAGGAGCTGCGGTCCCGCAGCGCCGCCCGGCAGCCCAAGGGCCCGCGGGCAGAGCCGGCCCAGCACCCCCCGGTGCCCCCGGTGCCCGCCCCGGGCTGGGGGCCCCCCGTGTCCCTGGGGGTGACACAGGGCCTGGCAGGCAGCGACGGGCACCAGACGAGGAGGAGAGCCCGGCCCAGCCTGCAGCCCATCGCCGAGGGGCAGCCCAGGGATGTGGAGAAGGGGCGGCTGCCCCCAGGGGAAAAGGGCATGGGGACAGCCCCGCTCCGGGGGCTCGGGGGGCCCGGCGGGGACCCCGCGGTGCCACGGGCGGCACAGAGAGGAGAGGAGACCCGCACGGGGGGTGAGTGTGGGAGTGAGACTGGGGTGAGTGTGGAGATGAGTCTGGGGGGGGTCTGGGGGTGAGTCCGGGGGTGAGTCTGGGGGGGGGTCTGGGGGTGAGTCCGGGGGTGAGTCTGGGGTGAGTCTGGGGGTGACTCTGGGAGGAGTCTGGGGTGAGTCTGGGGGTGAATCTGGGTGTGTGTTTGGGGGTGAATCTGGGGCGACTCTGGGGGTGACTCCGGCTCCTTCCGGGGTCCTGCCCGGGGCTTGCGGGGCCGGGTGCGGGTCCCCGGGCGGTGGGAGCGATCCGGGGGCGCTCCGGGCCGGGCACGGCGAGCTCCGGGGTTCCCCCCGCATGGCCCAGAGCAGTCCAGGACGTGCCGGGGCCGTCCCGGTGCCGCCGCTCCGCCCCGCGGCTCCCAGCGCTTCCTCCTCCCGGCCCGGCCCGGCCCCGCCGCCCTTGGCCCCATGAGCCGGAGCGAGCCGGGCCCCGCTCCTCCTCCTCCGCCTCCCCCGGGGCCGGGCAGCGCCGCAGCCGCCGCCCCGCCTGACCCCGCTGCCCCGCTGTCTCCAGCCAGGCCCGAGCCGCTCCCCGCCGGAGCCGCCGCCGGAGCCGCCGCTGGAGCCGCCCGGCCCGGAGGGGGAAGAGCGGAGGGGCCGCATGGCGAGCAAGCGAAAGGTTGGGGCAAATCCTCGCAGAACGGGGCGGGAGGGGAGGAGGGGGCAGCGGGGTCGGGAGGGTGCGAGGGGCTCGTCCTGGGGCGGGTCGGTGTCCGGGGCGCCGGCAGGGCTGGGCTGGGACAGGGACAACGGAAGGCGCGCAGGGACACTGCAGGCGGGGACAGCGCCGACAGGGACACTGCGGGCAGGGACAGGCAGAGCTGGGCTGGGGCAGGGACACTGCAGGGCACGCAGGGACACTGCCGGCGGGGACAGTGCGGGCAGGGACCGGCAGCGCTGCCCGCACCGCGCCCGGCCCTGCCCGCCCCCGGCAGGTGATCCGGGCCGGCCGGAGAACGCGGCTGCAGCACCGCCGCAACCCCCCGAGGGTGCCCGGTTCCCGCACAGCAGGGTCCGGTGGTGTCCGGGTCCCTCCAGTGGGTCCCTCCAGACTGACCCTTCCCTCCTTCTCTCTTTCTCTCCTCCTCTCCCTCGTCCCCAGCGCTGCTGGTCGCCGTCAGCTCCGCTGTGGACAAGGTCATCGCCCACTTCAGCACCGCACGGAACCTGGTGCAGAGGGTGAGAGCGGGGAAGGATTTTGGGATTCCCTCATCCCTCCTAGCGGAATCGGAGTCGGGTGCTGCCCTTCCCCTCCCTCCCATCTCCTCGTGTTCCTGCTCTCCCCAGGCCCAGCTGGGGGACAGCCGGCTCAACCCCGACGTGGGCTACCTGCTGCTGCACACCCTGTGCCCTGCTCTCTACGCCTTGGTGGAGGACGGGCTGAAGCCTTTCCAGAAGGATGTTATCACAGGCCAGAGGAGAAACTCCCCCTGGAGCGTGGTGGAAGCCTCGGTGAAGACAGGTGAGGGTGAGGCTGGGGGCGTCTCCAGGTGCCGGGGGTGCTGCTGTGCCATGGGCCAGCTGGGGTGAGTGAGTGTCTGTGCCCTGGGCAGTGAATGTCTGTGCCCCTGGGCATTGTCTATGCCCTGGGCAGTGTGTCTGTGCTCTGGGCACTGAGTGCTGCTGTGCCCTGGGCAGTGTCTGTGCCCCTGGGCATTGTCTATGCCCTGGGCAGTGTGTCTGTGCTCTGGGCACTGAGTGCTGCTGTGCCCTGGGCAGTGTCTGTGCCCTGGGCACTGAGTGTCTGTGCCCTGGGCAGTGTCTGTGCCCTGGGCAGTGAATGTCTGTGCCCTGGGCACTGAGTGTCTGTGCCCTGGGCAGTGTCTGTGCCCTGGGCAGTGTGTCTGTGCCCTGGGCAGTGAATGTCTGTGCCCTGGGCAGTGTCTGTGCCCTGGGCACTGAGTGCTGCTGTGCCCTGGGCACTGAGTGTCTGTGCCCTGGGCAGTGTGTCTGTGCCCTGGGCAGTGTCTGTGCCCTGGGCACTGAGTGCTGCTGTGCCCTGGGCAGTGTCTGTGCCCTGGGCAGTGTGTCTGTGCCCTGGGCAGTGTCTGTGCCCTGGGCACTGAGTGTCTGTGCCCTGGGCAGTGTCTGTGCCCTGGGCAGTGTGTCTGTGCCCTGGGCAGTGTCTGTGCCCTGGGCAGTGAATGTCTGTGCCCTGGGCAGTGTCTGTGCCCTGGGCAGTGTGTCTGTGCCCTGGGCAGTGTCTGTGCCCTGGGCACTGAGTGTCTGTGCCCTGGGCAGTGAATGTCTGTGCCCTGGGCACTGAGTGTCTGTGCCCTGGGCAGTGTCTGTGCCCTGGGCACTGAGTGCTGCTGTGCCCTGGGCAGTGTCTGTGCCCTGGGCAGTGTGTCTGTGCCCTGGGCAGTGTCTGTGCCCTGGGCACTGAGTGTCTGTGCCCTGGGCAGTGAATGTCTGTGCCCTGGGCAGTGTCTGTGCCCTGGGCAGTGTCTGTGCCCTGGCACTGAGTGCTGCTGTGCCCTGGGCAGTGTCTGTGCCCCGGGCACCGAGTGTCTGTGCTCTGCACCCCACAGGCCCCAGCAGCCGCTCCCTGCACTCCTTGTGCTGGCACGTGGCCGGGCTGGCCCCTCTCAGCAGCAGCAGGCAGAAGTTCCACGCCTTCATCCTCGGCCTTCTGAAGTGAGTGGTGTTAACCCTGCCAGCCCCACGGCAGGTTGGAGCTGTCCCAGGGGCTCTAATTTTTGGGTTCCCTTTGTCTTGTTTAGCATTAAACAGCTGGAGTTGTGGATATCTCACCTGCAGAAGAGCCCAGGTAAGGGCACGGTGCCCAGGAGCTCCCTCCCTGAGCCCTCTCAACCTGCCAGGCTGAAAATCCCACTCTGGGCTTGGGATACATCCACTTCCCATCGTGGATGGTTTTCCATGGTGCATCTTCAGCACAGAGGGTGCCCTGAGCGACGTGGACAGCCTGGCTGGCCCTTGGTGGGGATGTGACAAGCACAGGGGCCATCCTGCCCCCGCCTCACCTGTCCCTGTCCCCACAGGTGTGATCTCCGTGCTTTACTCCCCCACGGCCTTCTTTGCCCTGAGCCAAGGCCCTCTGCCCCACCTTGCTGACGAGCTCCTGCTGCTCATCCAGCCCCTCTCGGTGCTGACCTTCCACCTGGACTTGCTCTTTGAGCACCACCACCTCTCCGTGGACGTCCGGCCCTTGTCCCGCCGCCTGCTGTCCCCGCTGTCCCCCAGCCCCGTGCGGGGGTCCCTGGGGGGGCACAGCGGTGCTGCTGGGGACAGCCTGGAGGATGAGACCCCCCCCGATGCCCTGGGCAGGGTGGGGGGCACAGGGGGCCGCTCCCAAGCCGCCATGGGTGGGTTGGTGCCTGCCCCACCGGTGGGGGCTGCCCTGCAGCAAACCCTGCAGCAGGTGCTGCGCTGGGGCGACCAGATCAGCCGCACCTTGCTGGGCTCTGCCACCCCCCCGGAGAGCCAGGAGGGCACGGGGGGCACGGGGGGCACTGGGGCTGGCCTCAGTGGCTGGTGGGGCCAGCTGAGCCAGAGCTCCAGGGTTTACACTGCTGCCAGCAAGGAAAAGTCCCCCTCGGTCTGGTGGACGAAGCTGCGGGCAGGGGAACCCAGCCCGGGCCAGGCTGGGCAACCCCAAATTTCCTTGAGTGAGCCCAGAGCCACGGAGCTGCAGCTCCTCCAGACCAAAACTGGCTCTGAACCCTCTCACCCAAAGCCCAGCAGCAGCACTGACACCTCAGGGAGCTCCTCCCCTGAAGATCTCTTCTTGCCCACTGGAACCAGAGCGCTCACCAAGCTGGATGATCCCACTGCTGGAAAAAACCTCCTGGCTGCTTCCGCAGAGCCTCCTGCCAGCAGGAGCCAGGCAGAGATGGCTGATCCTCCCGGGGCTGACAGGGGCAGCTGGCTGGGCTGGCTCTTTGGAGCCACCAGCCCCTCGTGCAGGAGGAGCTTCCCCTGCAGCCCTGACGCCGCCTCGGGCAGGTCCAGGTGAGACCCAGCTTGGGCAGGCACAGGGGGAAGGGTTTGTGTGGGCTGGGGAGGGGTTTTGTGTGCTCAGGTGTGCTCAGGAGGGGTTTCTGTGTGCTCAGGTGGGCTCAGGAGGGGTTTCTGTGTGCTCAGGTGTGCTGAGGAAGGGTTTCTGTGTGCTCAGGAGGGGTTTCTGTGTGCCCAGGTGTGCTCAGGAGGGGTTTCTGTGTGCTCAGGTGTGCTGAGGAAGGGTTTCTGTGTGCTCAGGAGGGGTTTCTGTGTGCCCAGGTGTGCTCAGGAGGGGTTTCTGTGTGCTCAGGTGTGCTCAGGAAGGGTTTCTGTGGTGGCTTCATGGGGATCTTGTAGGGTTTCCCCTGGCATTAGTGCATGTCCCAAGCGCTGCTGCCGTCGCCTTGGAGCAGCAGGAGCTCCTGGGCAGGCTCAGTGCTGTTTATCAGCTCCCAGATCAGCAGATAAGCCTGAGATCAGCAGCAGGAAGGGCTCCCAGGTGAGCTGGTGGCTCCCTTTGCTCCGGCAGGAGGCCGTCCCGCTGGCTGGCCCCCAGCCCCCGTGTCCTGGCCGGGGTGGTGAAGGGGCTGGCACCGGGCAGGAGCCGCAGCCCGGAGCCGCAACCGGGCAGGAGCGAGGCCGGCCTGGCCCCGGGGCGCAGGTGAGGCTGGGATGGGGTGGGGTGGGATGGGATGGGATTGATGGGATCAATGGGATGGGATTGATGGGATCAATGGGATGGGATGAGATCGATGGGATGGGATTGATGGGATCAATGGGATGGGATGGGAACAATGGGATGGGATGGGATGGGATTGATGGGATCGATGGGATGGGATCAATGGGATGGGATGGGATCGATGGGATGGGATGGGATCAATGGGATCAATGGGATCAATGGGATGGGATTGATGGGTTCAATAGGATGGGATTGATGGGATCAATGGGATGGGATGGGATGGGAGCAATGGGATGGGATGGGCTGGGAGAGGGCAGGGCTGGGATGGGATGGGATGGGATGGGATGGGATGGGCCGAGCTGGGATGAGGTGGGCTGGGATGGGATGGGATTGATGGGATGGGATTGATGGGATCGATGGGATGGGATGGGATGGGCAGAGCTGGGAGAGGCACTGGGCAGGGCTGCAGGGCTTTTCTGGCTGGGGGAAAGCCGGGGCTGCTTTCAGGGGGTCGCACACATCCCTAAAGGGAAAGCCATGGCTGCACCCCCAAGGATCCCCTTCCCCTGCTGGGCTCTGGGGGAACCTGAGCCTCTGCCCGCCTGGGCTCAGCTGCTTTTCCAAAACGTTTTGGGGACAATTTTTGGCATTTTCTTGTGTGCTTTGTGGATTTGTGGCACCTTGTGTGGGGCAAGCGTATGGCAGCTGTAGGAGCAGCTCTGTCCAAGTGGGCAGGGTGGGTTTGTGGCCACCCCAAACGGTGTTTGGTGCTTCCCTCTTCCTCATCCTCGTTGACCCCAATGTCCCCACACCCTCTGGGCCATCTCTGATGTCCCCACACCCTTGGGGGACATTTGTGGCCCAGGGTGACATTGATGGCACAGGAGGTGACATTGATGGCACAGGGGTGACCTTGGTGGCACAGGGAGTGACATTGATGGCACAGGGGTGACATTGGTGGCACAGGGGTGACATTGGTGGCACAGGGGGTGGCATTTGCGGCCCAGGGGTGACATTTTTGACGCAGGGCAGTCCGGGCACTGTGTGACCACACGGGCACGGCTGATGGGCACCTGAGCTTCCACAAAGGGGACATCCTGGAGCTTCTCTCCACCGTGGATGAAGACTGGATCCGCTGCTGCCATGGCAACAGCACCGGCCTCGTTCCCGTTGGTTACACGTCCCTGATTTTGTGAGGAGGAGGAGGAGGAGGAGGAGGAAGGGGCCTGAGGGAGCAGCCGAGCTCTCCGGAGCGGTGCCAGCTCTGGGTGTCTCCTGTCACCTCCAGAGCTTCCCCAGCTCCGGGGCTGGCGGCTCCCAGGGCACCCTGCCCTGTGCCTGTCACTGCTGCATGAGGTCACCGTGTGCCACCGTGTCCCCCCAGCCCCTCCTTGGCAGCTCGGGGGTCTCTCAGCTGCTGCCCAGCCCCGTGTCACCTCCATCCGTCCGTCCATCCGTCTGTCCTGCCACCGCTGCCACCTCCAGTGCCCCGCCGTGCACTCTGTAAATAATTGTAACCACTGGAATGAGCTCGTTCCGCCGGGAAAAAGCCGGAAATAAAGGTTGTGACTCACAAAATTTTGTTCTGGTTTCGGGCAAGTTTGGTAGAGAATGCCCAAAAAGGGGAGGGGGCCCCTCCAGAAAGCAAACTCACAGGGTCCATCTCCCCACAACTGGTTTGGGAAGGATTCCTCGGAGAGAAGTGGAAAGAACCTGTTCATTGAACAGGCACAGCACCCCCAGCACACAGATCCTGTTCATTGAACAGGCACAGCACCCCCAGCACACAGAATGAACAATACCAGGTGACACCGCTCTGACAAAGATGACAAATTCAGAAAGTCTCTCTGGGGGTGGTCGCTCCGTTCCCAGTCCCTCCTGTGCTGGGGCAGCTGCTGCAGCCACAAGGTGCAAATCCTCGGCGTTCCCAGGTCCCAGCCCAGAGCAGGTTCAAGTTCGTTCCAAAATGGAAAGGAGAAACAGTCCGGGAAGGAGTTTGGGCTGTTCAGCTGAACTAGCTAATGAGCAGAAGCAAAAGCAAGCAGGAGCAAAGCAGCAGCAAGAGTGAGCTGCCCACCCTCATGCCAGGGCAGGGACGGCTCCTCTCCCTGCCCCGTGTCACCTCCATCCGTCTGTCTGTCTGTCCTGCCACCTCCAGTGCCCCGCCGTGCACTCTGTAAATAATTATAACCACTGGAATGAGCTCGGTCTGCAGGGAAAAAAAGCTGGAAATAAAGGTTGTGGCTCACGTGTGGCAATGGGCAATGGGATGGGATGAGGAGATGCTGGGGCTGTGCTGGTGCTCAGCATTGTTATGAATGAGAAGCTTGACTAGGTCAATATTCAAGCTGCAATCAATTTATTAATTAATATGATAAAGTATGAGCAACACAGCGCTGGGTACAGTGGGGGAAGTTTTCCCTCCAACTGCACACCGAAAATTGAGGGTTACAGGTATTTATAGGGGTACTCATCAGCTCTTTCAGCAGTTTCTATTCCAATTTTTTTACTCATCAGCAATTTTTATTGCAAATTATTTCATCATGATTCTATACACTATTGTGATCTTAGTTTCTCAGGATGTATCTCAAAAGGAGGATCCCAGATGGTGGCGGTCCAGTTTCCCTTTGGTCGAAACCATCAACCCTTGAGGTGATGTTCATCTTCCTTTCTCAGGCTGTTTTTCTCTGCTTCAATAAGGCATGAGATAAGCTTATTTCCCTTATATACATTCTAAAGCAATAGTTTCAAGGATACAAATAATATTCTAAAATTATACTTCAAAAGGTTATTATTGCAGAACTCTTTATGGATTAAAAGCAAGCAAAAAGCAACATCCTTAACACCTTAATTCCGATGCTCCTAAATTAACCAGGGTTAATTGCAAACAAAAGATGGGTTCAAAGGCCTTTTTCCGTGCTTTATTTTCCTCAGTTATTATTAGAATTCGCAACTATCGCATTGTCAGAGTCCACACACATTGCAATCACAAGTACACACGTCGCCTGTTTGTACCTGACACGAAACACAGCTTTGCATCTCACAGCACCCCCAGGCAGGGAGAGCAGGAAAGGTGCCCTGAAGATGCCCAAGCTCCTCCACAGCGTGGCAGAGGCGGCTGCAGCCTCCCCGAGCCAGGAATATCCCTGGAAAAGCGGCTGGGAACAGCCCAGGTCGCTGCTTTGGTTATTTATAAAACTTCAGCTGATCTTTTCACAGCCCAGGGGATGGCAAGTAGGGGCTAAACGGCTCCGAGTTCTTCGTGGTTTTGCCATCGCTTGTGATTTCAGGCCAGAATCTGCATTTCCTGCTGGGCTCCCCGGTGGAAGGAAGGTGTGGCCGTAGCAGGGAGCGGCCCCACGGCAGCAGCAGGGACAGTTTTGGGGCTCTGTCCCTCCCATGGCCACGTTTCACCCTCCCGATTTCCCCTTTTCGCTGTGTCAGCCCCGGGTGAAGCCGCTCTCCTCTCACTCTGCTCTCATTTCTCTCGTTTCCACTTCTCTCGCCGGGGTTTTTATTCTCAGACGAGTGACGTGATGTCCTGATTGGAATGTTCCTTGGCTCGCCTCAAGGAGCCTTGATTGATTTCCACAGCTGCCTCTGGGCTTTCGGAACGAGGTCATGCCAGAAGGAGGAGGCCAGGTGCTACTTCCATTTGTTTATTTTCTTTATTAAATAAACAGCCCTCCGAGCCTTGGCTTTAAAGGGAGCACAGGGGTCAAACGTGGCATTTTCATGGTCAAAGAGAGCGAGATAAAGGGAAAAGGAAAAATCAGGTTCCACAGAAGGGGTGTGGGTGAGAAGCTGTTTCATCCCTGAGGGACCTGCAGGTGAGAGATCTCTCTGCATTCACCTGGGGGTGACAGTCCCCAGCCTGAGCAGGACAAGGAGGCTCCTTGGGTTTGTCCCCTGGGAATGGGCACCAAATCTGTGGATTTAATGGCTCCTGGCCCAGTTTGCCTCAGGGGCAGCCGTGGTCAGAGCCCCTCACGGTGACCATGCTGTCCCCACCCCTCCTGCAGGGCCACTGGGGTCACACGGAACCCTCTGAGACCTCTGGCAGATGGGGCTCAATCCCAGGGGGTGATCCCAGGTTGGTTCCCATTCCAGGGGGGTGATCCCAGGTTCCCATCCCTGCTGAGTGTTCCTGGGTTGGTTTCCATCCCAGGTGGGTGTTCCCAAGTTTGTTCCCATTCCAGGTGGGTGTTCCTGGGTTCCCATTCCGAGTGGGTGTTCCAAGGTTGGTTCCCATCCCAGGTAGGTGATCCCAGGTTCCCATCCTAAGGGATGTTCCCGTGTTCCCATCTCAGTGGTTGGTGTTCCTGGGTTCCCCCCCCAGTGGTTGATCCCAGGTTCCCATCCCAGCTGGGTGTTCCAGGGTTGGTTTCCATCCCAGGGGGTGTTCCCAGGTTCCCGGGGTGTGTTCATGAGCCAGGACAGCCCAATCCCCACCTGTCCCCAGCCCAGAGCACTCAGTGTCACCTCCAGGTGTTCCTTGCACACCTCCAGGGATGGGCACTCCGACCCTCCCTGGGCAGTTCCAATCCCTGAGCCCCCTTTCCATGGGGAAATTCCTGCTGTGCCCACCCTGAGCCTCAGCCTGAGGCCGTTCCCTCTGCTCCTGTCCCTGTTCCCTGGGATAAGATCCCAAATCCTCCCCGGCTGTGCCCTCCTGGCAGGAGCTGTGCAGAGCTCAGGTCCTCCTGAGCCTCCTTTGCTCCAGGCTGAGCCCCCTCAGCTCCCTCAGGGATTCTCCAACCCCTTCCCAGGTCCTTCAAGAATTCTCCATTCAATTTCCATCTCCTTCAGAAATTCCCAGCTCCCTCAGGAATTCTCCATTCCCTTCCCAGCTCCCTCAGGGATTCTCCATTCGTTCCCAGCTCCCTCAGGGATTCTCCACTCCCTCAATCTCTTGTCATAAAGAACCCAAAACAGACCCAGGGTTTGAGGTCCCTCAGCAGAGGCAGCAGGAGGGGCTGGGGGCACTGCCCTGGTCCAGGCCAGGTGCCGTTGGCCTCTTGCACAGCTGGGCACAGCTGGGCACAGCTGGGCCCGTGTCCAGCTGCATCCCCAGCACCCCCAGGGCCTTTCCAGCCCCTTTTCCCCGAGCCTGGAATGTTCTGTGGGGTTGCTGTGACCCAAGGGCAGCACCCAGCACTGCTGAGCCTCACCCCATGGATCCCATGGATCCCACGGATCCAGCCTGCCCAGATGGATCCTGTCCATCCATCCACCTCCTGTCCTCCTGTCCATCCACCCTCCCACCCAGCTCAGCAAAGAAAACCCCCCGAGCCAACCTTTAGGAAAAGATTTTTTTTTTCCATTTAATACTAGACTCTCAGGATTGAGATGCAGGCTTTTTATGCAATTACATCCAATGTTAAAATTGGTAATACATAATTTACAAAGATTAACATCAAAACAATGATCTATTTAGATATGCTTTGTAAAAAGGAAATATATTAGCAGCATTTATTTTCAGCAATCACACAGCCTACACCCATGCAGACTAAGGTTCAGCTCTATTTGCAGTAACGTAGTGCTTCCTGGCTCCGGCGGCGATCCTGGGGACACACGGGTCTGCTCAGTATTATAAAATAACCAAAAAAATAAAAAAAGTCATTAATTTCTACACCAGTAAGAAAAAACAATTCTTTGCACTTACCTAACATTTGATTGTCTAAAAAACATTTTGTTTAGTCTTTCAACAAAAGAAAGATAAAATGACAGAGCTAGTGTCTCGCTTCTGTACGCACTTTATTTTTTTTTTTTTTTAAAAACTTTTTAGTGTTTAACACCATTTGAGACAATGATTTCTGTTTGAAACTAAATGAGACAACTCGAGGGGTTGGACATGCGATATTCCTACTACACGCACGAGTATTTTATACTCAGGGCTCCTGGTACTGTACAGTGCTTCTCTACAGTAAGAAAATATTCCAAACTATTTTCTTATTTCTTTTTTTTTTTTAATAAAATATTTTTTTTTCTCAAAGGGTTTTTTTCCTTTCTTTTTTTTTTTTTTGTGGTTTTTTTTTTGTTTTGTTTTGTTTTGTTTTCTCTTTTGAAATCAACACATAAAAGTTAATGGAATGAGTCATGTTCCACTAAGAGTAAAATAATTATAATAATAACAAGAATGTACATTAGGACGAGCTTGGTCCATAAAAAGGAACATGTAACTACGGTATTGCTTTACATCCACGCAGCAGATATATACAACTTGGCACATTAAAAACCGGATTTCTTATAAGAACACCTAAAACAGGACTGGATATGCATGTGTACGTCTGAGACAGGAAAGCAAAGCCACCGTCCGGGGGCCGGCGCTGGCGGGACAATCGCGACAATCGCGACAATCGCCAGCGGGTGGCGCTGCCCGGACGTTCGGCTGTCCACCAGCACACGAGGGTAGTGTTAGCAGTTGATAAATTCTACAGCTCACGACAAACACTCGCTCGGATACTGCCTGAAGGGCACGGAGTGAAAGGGTCCTTGGGGTTTTTGCTTTTTTTTTTGGTGTTTTTTAGTTTTGCTTTGTTTTTTTTTTTTTCCTTATTTT